GTCACGATTCCATTTACATTGCCTAGCTAATGTTTTATGGGGTTTATGAGGCGGGTTACGTATTATGTTTTACGATGCTGTATCCAACTGAGGTTATGTTCTTTACCCAGTACTGTTGAAGTATCAAGATTATATAGAAACTAGGCTTTATTATGTTACAACCTCTTTATTCTCTTATTATGTGATTTATTACGATTTCATAGGTGTATCCAATGATCATTATTGATATTAATTTTATATTTAAACAACGTTTTAATTATCAGTCATTACTTATTGGTAGATGCCAGTCGAAAGATGGTAAGTAAATCACAATATTACATGGTTCGAAGTTTCTCGAAGTTAGAAATGTAATCTGCGATGCCAACGGTTAGCAGCTTATTGACTTGGGACACGTCAAATATCAAACCACATTTCAAAACTGTATCGACGCCAGAAATATTCACTTACAATTTGTTATTTACTTTATTAAAAGAGTTATCAAATTCTATTTACAAATAAACATGAAAAGTTACTGTCAACTGATATTTTAGTTTAAAACCAGTAAGAAATATACGCATTTTTAATAAAATACATTTTAGCCTTACAAATGAAATATTAGTATTCCAATATTGTACCAGCACGCTGTATTCAAATTCAGATAAACCTATTTTATACAATTAAATTGGGCTTATAAAATCCATTGAATTTGAATATCTATCAATTCAATATGCCGGCGAGCTGTCAAAACGGATGGAAGATAAATGTTTGGCTATAACTTGACATACGTCAGAATGATTTGTGATCGAGTCAACGGAGTATGAACGCAACTGCGACTTGCATGTGTGATTCAAACGATCTTAAACATAAACAATCCGGTTTATGCCAATATATACATGTATACACAACGTATGTAGCTAAATATATAACTGAAACAGAAATGATATCATAACACAAGACATTTGAATGTAGCATAGATCTTGTTGGAAGATTCTATTCTCATTCAATTTTAAAAGAAATATTTTAGTTTAATATTAAATGAAAAATAATAATCGTAATAAATCAACTACCTACTAAGTTAACTCTTATCTAGAAAATGATATATTTACATACATATACCATCTTCAAAATTCCCAAAGATTTTCAGCAGACACGTGGTCACGTAAAAAAGCTCGTCACAATATGTGAATAAGAGTACATGTAATCACAGGTGACATCACTTGAGTGACCTCTAAACGGATTACGGCAATAAGCCGCTCAGAACATCGCTACAAAGCAGCGACTTACGGACCTCTTACTGGGTTTTATGGGCCTTGAACGTCGCACGCACCAGGGTAATGACTAATGTCGGCTCCAGAATATTATTTTATCGATATATTTACTAATATAAAATAATATACACCGTTAGAAACTCACGACAGTTTTTCGACAAAATATAAAAAACAATATGGAACCCTAAAAAGTTTTAAAAGTAGCTCATACTTTTTTATGTATGTTTAAAATGTCAAGCGCTACATGCATAGTGATTAAAAGCCGCACTCGGGAAGTTGTTATTGCTACTATAAGAGCTCTATAAAGTAAATGACTTGGAGGCCATGGCATAATTTTGACGTTAATGCTGAATAAAAGACAGATGCGGTGAAAGAAAAGCCTCGAGAGACTGAAATTTCAGTTCTTTTTCGTCTCGCTAGTAAAAATCACCAACCTCCTTGAAATATTTGTCACTATCGTAATTAATAATTTACATTACATAAAAATTAAAATAGCTAAAATGATGTCACATTTGTTAAATATTTTTCGGTGTGTTGTTTTTTTTCTGTGAAAACAAGTCTATTATCCTATAACAATAAACATTCACAACAAAAAAATATATCGAATTGTCTATGAACAAACCAAAATATAACTTAGCTAGAATAAAGACAATGGCGTGTGATCCCGAGGGAAATACATCTGATTGAACCTACCCATTCACTCACTCACTCTATTCACTTATTGACTATTCTTGTCGGAATAGAATGCACTCATTATTTTATAACATCAATGCTTAATTCAATTCCATTTATTTTATTTAATTATAATTCATTCATAATAAATATATGCATAAAAACATGAAATGATTAAAGTACCGTTATATGTAGCTGTAACATTTACACCTTGGCACACTGGCACGATAAAATAGAATTTGTCCGTTATAAAACAATAGCAATGAAGCGTGACACAAAACCGGGACATCCCCGGAGAATTTAGCAATAAAATATCGATCACGTGTCAATTACCGTGATTACTGAACGTTCCGATAATTACATCAGTATTCTAGGCGCTTTAGAATACAATAACCTGGACTGAATCCGTAATATTATCGACGATGTTTTAAAAGAATTAACTCAGCAATAATAGTATTTGTTGTTAGATGGAGCTTTGATAACATTGGAGATATATCTAGTTTCGATATAAAGCTGAAAATTGTGTTTTTTTTTAATTAGGACCTTTTATAAGAAACAAAGAGTCTTTCAAAATTATACAACACATGCCCTTTATGAGGCCCTCTGAAAGGTATAACTGAATAATTAATTGGGAAAATGACTAAGTACGAAATACACGTGTGAAGGATTATCCAATATAACATTATAAATACAACCAAAAATAACACACTCTATTTATTTCTACGAAATATTTGCAATAATTAAGTTGTTAAATTACAAAAAAAATAAATTCAACGTTTGATTTTAACCCTTAGAGAGATCTGAAAATAATAAAAACATGACATTCCTAACGCAATATTTATTCTGTATATTTCATATTCGCACATTTAACTACGTTTGTTACTACTTTATATTGACATCGACCTACTGTTTTGTATACATTTAAATAACATATAAAATACCCTATGGTTCATACGAAAAAAATAATTTGTTTAATACGTCTATCAAACTGGGGAGTGTGTCAGTCATAAAAAAAGATTTCGTAAATCACGTCGGCTTCTTGTTTGCCAAATATCAGCATATTAAACCCAGCTTGCATTAATGCGAATAACTTAAGCTTCATTGTTATTTAGTTAGCGATGTTCAGTCTCATTGTTACAAAGCGTTAAACGATTTTTAATAAAACCAAAACGTACAAAGGATCGCTTTATGCAACAATAAACTATATAAACCGTATTCAATTGTACTCAAGCTCTAAGTGCACTAACGATTGAATATACTCTTTTTATTTTATCGGTATACGCTTAAAAGAACTTAGATTTTTCCAATGCTGTTCTAAAAATAAATACATTTATTTCCCGTTTTAACTGTTGATATTTTATTTGTGAGCGAGGAATCGATCGATCGTAATTCTTATGTCAGAGAGATACGAAGTTGTTTGAATTAATTATGTCTTATATATATTTCAAAGGGACCGCAACGTGTTGTGTTGTATACAAAATTGTTTGACAATTTAATACCAGTACAATATCCACGGTGACATAACGCTTACGTTAACGAATAAATAATGACTATACTAATTACATAATCACTATGAATAATATTGAAGCAATGGACCTAATGTTAGGCGTACATTGAGATGCAAGAATAATTGCAATAAGATCATTATAAACTTCAATATCTCTAAAAGAATTTTCGCTAATAACTCATTTTTTTTCCTTTACTCTCGCTTACCGTCTCTTATATCTCTGAATACACACCCATATAATACTAACAGTTATATATATATCCAGTTAAACAAGACAATACAAGTATGTAAAGTAATGCTAATGTGTTATAAGATTCTGCATTTAATTTCATTTCGTTACATGATATTTTAATATTCTTGATTAAACATTTAGTTCTTATATACTGATATAACAAACTTAAATTTAGTTTATAAATGATTCCATATCATTACTTAAGCATAGTTTTCCAGTACAATTTCTCACTTGAATAGAAGTTTCCTTTGTAATAATGTAAATGTATTAATAACGAAATAACGAAATGTATTAATAACTAGCTTTTTCCCGTGACTTTATCCGTGTTAGTTTCATGATTAGACGTAATAAAGCTTACCAGCCGAATTGTTTAAATTTAGAGGCAGTAAATAAACAGATTTAGGATTTTATTAGCAATTTTTTTTTATTGAATGAATTCAAATGTATCATATGTCGATCTCCTGATTCCAACCTACCTCCTCACAAATTTATAACCAAACCCGTACAGCCGTTCTTGAGTGTATAAACAGTGTAACTAAGATGGGTTTCCTTTATACATATGTTTATATTACTATAAACAGGTACATTAAAATATTCACAATCTTATATAGAATTTCATAATATTATCCTTTTTTATTTTACTTTTGTTACTTTTTGTACTCTTTGGAATTAATATACATATTTTTTGAAGTATTATTTTCGCGTGCTTAGTTTTCATTCATTTATTAAATAAAAATACTGTAACCTTTAGTATGATCTTATGTTCCTAAGAAATTATTTAAAGTAAATATTGAACTTTTCTAAACTTTAAATTATTTTTCATGACATAAAATAGTATTGCACCCTTTTCATTTTAGGGCTAAAACTGACATTTAAACTAACTAATGTAATAATTCTCTTAGGAAAATTGTTGCTCAAGCATAGAAAATATACACAAAATGTTAACATAACTTTTTAAATGCAAAAACATGATAAGTACGTTTTATTATTTTATTATAGAGTATACATGTCATAATCATTAAGAAATAATATATACAATACTCAATAAGAAAGAATTTTGATAGATATCCACATATTAAAAACTTACCAATAGGTACATTAATTCAACGTCGCCATAACATTATGCGCTTCGATATTATTATTTTCTCCTATATAATATTTTGTATATATTCTATACTTATAAAAAAAACGTAGTGATACAAAACAGCTGATCTAAATAGTACGTATTACTTGTAAATATCCTTTATTGGTAGTGTTACGTTTTGTGCGGACCATTGCACAACACAAGTAAATATTAACCCGTAACGCGAATCCAAAGCAACACACGCACTCGCACGACGAAATGATCCGCAACATCGCTGTGAGTTATAAAATCATTAATTAATTAATCAATCAATTAATTATAATATAAAACTAGTACATTTTCATTATGTTTCATAAAAAAATAGTTAATTTTATTTTAATTCTCATTAATTTAATAATGTTATCGGTTTAGCTGTTATTTTAGTGTATTTATTTCTTATAATTCGTTAGAAAATTACATGTATAATTAAATTACATGTATAATATTGTTTCAGTTAATTTTGGCCGCAGTAGTCGCCAGCCATCTTTGCTTGGCGTCCCCAGTGCCTGAGCCAGATCCATTCTTCAGTAAACCTCACCGCACTCAGTAAGTATATAGTGTTTATGTAATCAAATAATTGAAATAAAACGTTAAAATGGAACGAAGCAAAGGAAAACGTTAAGAAACAAACGGTAACAAGGATATTGCACATTGTTATATACCAATTGGAAATCATTATCCGGTCCTTATTTGAATTAAAATATTTACGTACTAACATACATTACTTTGATACTGACAAACGGTAAACAAAATGTTCTCCAAGACGAAGATATCAATTATTGTTAATTTAAAATTATTAAAGATTTTTTTCAAAGAAGCAGTTGTAATAAATGAAAATCCTATATACGATATGTTAAAGCTTATAACCATATATCTTGATCTTCTTCTTCTACCTGGCAATTTCCCAGCTATAGCCAGGGTCTGCCTTACATGTTGTGAATAGTTTTGGCTATTTGTTTTTACGACCGGCCGCCTGCCTGACATCAACCCTCTTTTTGGGAATCAACTTTAATCAGTGATGTCTTAATACTCTTAGAAAGTACATATGATTCGGAAAAATCACATTGGTACTTGCCCGGGCCAGGATCGAACCCGCGCCCTCGGCATCGAGAGGCGGGCCTTTAACCACTGGGCCACCACTGACTAACCATATATCTTGATATGATTATATAAACGTCATTAATAGTCTTTGAAAAGAATATAGTGGACATGTTTCTAAGTAGAACAGTGTCAGGGTCGAAACTCCCGTTTGACGTACATACAAAAGACTTTCCATTGCAAAAATATTATATATGTGTTTTACGATTAATATACAGAAAAAAATATTCATTGAAAACTATCAGCATTCACAAATGAGACAAAAACTTTATTAATCACCCTAATGGAAAAACGCGATATAATATTCATTTCAATTTCAAAATAAAAAGCCTTTACGGATTGCGTGTGCTATTTTAAAAGACCAACAAATAATTATTTCGATATTAGCGCAAAAGAACATTTATCTTTATTAATTCTGAATCGAATTCTGTGATGTTTGTTATTTTCGCGAAATATGAAATAAAAGTTGATATTATAAAATATAAGTACCTAATACTATAGATGAGTTTATGTTTATGGCACAAGAGAGTACTGAACAGCGATTTGTATTTTTGTGATCGTTTAAATATATTATTTTAAATGAATTTAAAATTAAGACAAATTTAAAATTAAGTAATAATATGTCTTATACTCATATACGATTTAGTTTACTGTGATAGACATTTTTATATAAATATATATTACAAACTATCTTTCTGTTGCCTTATGACCATAACGGAAAAGTCCAGATTCTGTGGAAGAATTTCAAAAAAATAGAATAAATATAAGAAAACAAAAGCTTTTAAAATATACAGTACTATTATCTACTTATATTGACAACTAGTTAATTTTGAATCAAGATAATGCATTGGTCAATGATTTGGTTATATTGATATATACATCGATACTCCAACGTAAGTTGTAAGTAAACCAAAGTCTACATTTTATGCATCTTTTTAAAATTTCGTATTTAAATTTAACATAATAATCTTCTTAACTACGTTAAAAGATATTTTAATTAATATGCCTATTTGCGGAGATATTGTTGTTATATTGTTCATACAACATTTTACTCCGGAGTAGAAGCTAAAAATGGTGTTGTATCTAACCAACACGCGGCGCGGGCGCGTGATTTTACCCACCTCGCGCCCCGCGTATACAGTTGCATAGGCATATACATCAGTTTAATCCGTTCGCGTTTGATAATTACAACATTATGCGTCTGACAAATCCTTTAAAAATAGTGTTTTTGTTGTTTTTTTTAATTTGAATGGATGTAATGATCCATAATAGGATATTTTTTAAGAAAAAAAGCAAAATATGTAGCATTTTTGTGGCATACAACAACTTACGTGGGAGGTATCGACATACATATTAATCTTAGAAGATCACTCGCGTTAAGGTCCTTACCATACTCAAATAAATTATTTCATAGTTATTATAAAAATCCAGAATTGTTCAATAATTAAAGCTAAAACCTTTGACCATAACTAATTATTAGTATTTTAAAATGGGAATTTTGAAGTAAACATAATATGTAATAATACGTTTTTTTCTAGTATCAAAATCCACGTCCCATACGAGGTGCGTTCGTACCATCATCATCACGTCGAGAAAGTGCCCGTCATACACGAGGTTCCAATCCTTAAGGAGGTACCCGTGCCCTACGAAGTTCCCGTTGTAAAACATGTGCCGATCATCAACACTGTACCCGTACCTATTGTCAAGACTGTAGCCATCGAGAAACCAGTATTCCTGCCATACAAGGAACACTACGGTTATCATTAAATGAGTAATTTCAGAATATCCATCCAAAACATGGTTTTAAACCAACTGTAAGGGATTTTTTTAAGTAATGCCATCACTTGAAATCAATGAATCCAACAGTATTTATTGATGGCACAAGCTTTAACTGTGTGGTGCTACTCTTTAGTTAACTAATAATACTTCACCTTGAGAGCTTTAAGTACTCTCGAAGACTGTTATTTAAGATCATCATTTTACTTCAATATATTTATAAGTTTATTATTAAAAACTTTAATTCTCCCTTAAGTTTTCTTTTCATTTTATTCTTGAAACCTACTTTAATATCACGCTATGATAATGGATAAATTAATTTTCATCTGATCAAAACGTAGAACTGAACCAAATTATATATCGAATATTTTATTCAACAAAACTGGAATTAAAACTCTTTCAACAACATTAAAATTCTCAATGATTTTATTATTTCAAAATCGTATAAAAACTTTTTAAGAGTAAAGAAAAACGTAAATTTCATGAATAGAAATAGATTTTTTTAAAGCACATCAAAAAGAAAACTAATAATATTCTAACTTTGTTTTTGTACGACATCGAAATTTGCATGAACCGCTATCTACATGTCAATTTATTGTTCTAGAATCAAATTTTGAAGCCATTTTGTTGTATTTTAATCAACGTACTTAATAATTTTTAATTAAAATATAACTATATTTTAGTATAAACGAGGTCATAACTTAAAAATATCTCGTTTTAATTATAAAGAAAGTTAAATTAGATGGTAAAAAATATATTTTCACGTTAGTATCATTACCGTGAACCTTGTTAACTAAACTAGTGGAAAAGCATAAAAGCTACAACAGTATGGCCATAAAATTAATAATTTTATTGAAGTCCCCCGCTATTGATGGCAAGTGTTATATTGACTGGTTATAAAACACGACAATGTATTTTGTAATTGGAAAAACAAATACTATTTCATTTTCTATCACCCAAAAAACTATTATATCGTGGTTTTTTAATAAAAATTAGCGTTACCTTCTCCATATCTGTTTTGTATTTGGAAAGCGTATGCACAATTTAATGACCTTCCCGTAGCGAATTTATTTATGATAATGAAAAAAACCAAGTCCGTTCGTAATAATATGAAAGGCATCGTTCAACGACCGAGGCGCTCATTATTTTCACCAAATGACTTTCCTCTCTTAATTACCATCAAATAGGTAAATAAATTGTCATCGTCGTCATAAATTATATGCGCATTTATGATTACGGCTTAATGAATATTTCATTTCTTTTCATTCAGATCTAAAATGTTATAAATTTAATAAGAGCGAAGGCTGGGTCCATAAATGAAAAATAAAGGTAGGTATGAGCCGGTGCAGTTTTTCGTAAAGTGCTGTTGTACCCCTGGGAGGTGCTTGTCACGCGTGAACTGTCACAGCTACTATTATTTATTCAGTAACTAATACCACTTGATACACATCACGTTTCTATAGCCAACCTTTCGATCGACGTGACGATAAACAAAGACTTATTTTATCTATAAATATTACAGTACTTCTTTTGTCATTTAAAATATAAATAAATTTATTTATTTACGTTCTACTCAAAAATGTACATACGTTTAGAGATATTTCTGTCAGCCATCCTCAAAGATAACATAAATTCTTAAGCATGAAGTCCTCAAAATCCAAATATTTTGTATGAATTAGTAACATAACAACCGCTTATTTTATTTTAACCGCACAAAAGTTATCAAAAACCTAGTCAGATAGCTATTTAGTGCACCTTGTTTACGATGCAATTTAGTAGCAACTTGCAAAATAGCATTGCATTTTCGTACAGCGAAAACATCAGTGTGAAAGTTGTTTGAACGTAATAGCGGAGCTCATTGTTTGTGCGCGTTATCGCAATTTGCAGCGGCCAGCGATCGGCATGTCGGCCTTTTGTGTTCCTGTCAAACTTGAATACCATTTAGTTTGTACGCATCGCGCTTCAAAGTAAAATAAGCGTTAACTTAACTATGCTTTCATCTTTCATACCTGTACTGTCGATACCAAACTGTCTGAGCCTCAGATAAATATGAATTTAAAACAATGAAACAATAAAATTGATGTTAATACAATAGAGAATAAAATAAGGAACCTTGAAGGTCTAAATGACGGATTGGAGATTCTGAAAATTGATTTGATGGAAAATTCAATATAATTTTTAATACTTTCTGAAACACATATGTACAAAAAAATTAATTAAAAATATCAAAAAAGAATAATAATTACAAAAGGTTTTTCGTAGCAAAGTTTTAAAATAAATGAAAAAAGTGTTTTTTTCTTCCACTTCAGACGTTTTTTTTAATAAAAATCAATCCACAATACATCGAAGCATTAGCCAAACCAAAATTCGATGATTACAAGCCTAATTGTTTTATCCATTTTTCGCTCAATTAATTCCTTTGAGTCACAACACTTGTAATTATTTCGCTCATGAATACACTCTTGTAAACTCCTATAGACTGGAGCTTTTAAAATTGAGATGCCAATTTAAAAGCAATTCACAATTTATTTGGAAACAATGAAACTCCGTGTTGCCAAATTTAATTTATCATGATACATGTTTAATGAGATTACATGTGCTAATTTTATTTTTCATTTTCTCTATATATTTTTTTTTATTCTATAGAAAAATTCATTATTATATACTTTTGATTGTTAAATAACAAAATGTGAAAAATAATAATATTCAAAAGATTAAACCTGTGCATTTGTTAAGCATCATTTTTTTCCAAGCACTTGGGCTAAAGTTTTAAAAACACATATATTTATACATATTCCTTTTTCTATAGAAGCAAATAAAAACTTAAATACACACTTCAACTTTAAGTGTAATACCCTATTATTATTAATCATATAATTACAAAACAATATGCAAATGCTATAGTATTAATATCCGAACTCCGTAAAAAGAATTTCGTTATTAATGGAACGTTGCCATGCAATGCAATACATACGTTTTGCTGAACAATAATACAGAAAAAAATATAACTTTGTATAGATATATGAGTTGTAGCTATTTGATTGTTACTATTTTTAGAAATCAGAAGCAGATATATTAAAAAAGAAACAATTTTAACACTTGACCTAGTTATTTAGTCTCGAAAAGTAATTTTAACAACAAAATTAATTAAATAGAAAGAACAAAATCCTAAACTTAATAATTATTAAACGCTTTAACAAAACTACACGACCGGTGTTTAAATTACGAACGTCAAGGGCCAAGAGACAAGTGACGCGCGGCGGTTTGAATGCTTCTTTTATAAACAATCGTGTGGGTAGTTCTTTTATAAATAATGACGGTTGTATGCTGATTGCTTATACGGCCTCTCCTGACATAGTGGCGTCCTCGACACGAGCTTTTCATTGATCGTCACTTGATCCAGCGCCATCCGCTTCAACGTCTTCGTCCAGCAACGGTATCGAAAGACTGACCCCTGGCTGTGGTATAGAGCCGCTGGGACCAGCGACGCTAACGGCTCCAAGTTTTGAGTTCTCATTGAAGGAAGGCATCGAGGGTCCTATCCCCGAAGATAGTGCTCTGTCTGGTGACTCGTCTTCACTATTATTCTCATCAGCAAATCTGTTACTGTTATTAGGAATTAAGTTTAGTTTGTGTGACATTCAACCTTACAAACAATCCATCCATCGTCATTCAATCAATTCAAACTTCATCTATCACACAATAATAGCAACACGTATTCTGCCACCCTTTAAATAATAACAGAGTCGTTTCTTAAAACGACAAGTTGAGTATAGGTGCTCTTCTTCACGGCAGTAGACTCCATTCAGTATAACTGAACTTTCATGAACGCCTAGACAGTATGTCTGTAGTTCAACGAACGCCAAGACATTACGTCTGAAGTTCGAAATAGACGCCAAGGCCTTGAGCCTGAAGTCTCAACATTGAACGCCAAGGCTAAGCTGGCCTGTAGTTCTTACATCAAAGAAATAGACGCCAAGGCCTTGAGCCTGAAGTCTCAACATTGAACGCCAAGGCCAAGCTGGCCTGTAGTTCTTACATCAAAGAAATAGACGCCAAGGCCTTGAGCCTGAAGTCTCAACATTGAACGCCAAGGCCAAGCTGGCCTGTAGTTCTTACATCAAAGAAATAGACGCCAAGGCCTTGAGCCTGAAGTCTCAACACTGAACGCCAAGGCCATTCTGGCCTGTAGTTCTTACATCAAAGAAATAGACGCCAAGGCCTTGAGCCTGAAGTCTCAACACTGAACGCCAAGGCCAAGCTGGCCTGTAGTTCTTACATCAAAGAAATAGACGCCAAGGCTTTGAGCCTGAAGTCTCAACACTGAACGCCAAGGCCATTCTGGCCTGTAGTTCTTACATCAAAGAAATAGACGCCAAGGCTTTGAGCCTGAAGTCTCAACACTGAACGCCAAGGCCATTCTGGCCTGTAGTTCTTACATCAAAGAAATAGACGCCAAGGCTTTGAGCCTGAAGTCTCAACACTGAACGCCAAGGCCATTCTGGCCTGTAGTTCTTACATCAAAGAAATAGACGCCAAGGCTTTGAGCCTGAAGTCTCAACACTGAACGCCAAGGCCATTCTGGCCTGTAGTTCTTACATCAAAGAAATAGACGCCAAGGCTTTGAGCCTGAAGTCTCAACACTGAACGCCAAGGCCATTCTGGCCTGTAGTTCTCATATCAAAACTCGTGCATACTCTTAAAGAAGGCTGCACATGACTCGGGACACCATCACCACGCCAAGGCACCATGTATCGTGCCGCAGTTTGTGTAGTCTCCCCGTAGCTGCCACTCAGTAACTTGAGCTCATCGTCCGTTCAATAGAGCTTTCACGACTCGGTAGGGTCCTCGCATTCCATCTGAAGTACCCAGCCAGCCCTAAGAACTGGCGCACCTGTCAAACACTTTAGGGGATCTGTGAACTTACAAGAGCTTCGACCTTATGTGGGCTCGGCCCTACCTGACCCTGACTTACAACTCGTCCAAGATATTCAACCTCCGTAGTTAAGAACGAACACTTACGTAGGTTTATAGAGAACCCAGCGGTAGTAAGCGTTTGGAGGACTTTTTTTTTTAAAAGAGAAATACTTTCAACGATTGTGGAGCTCATTATGAGGACGTCATCCACGTAAACCAGGACCTGACCTAATTCTTCTGGGGTAACAAACCCAGTCAATCGATTCAAACCCTAAAGTCAACGCATAGGCGGTCCGAACCATCCTTTTTCTTAACGAGTATGACCGGACTCGCGTACTGTAAGTTTGACTCCCTGATAATTCCTTTTTCCAAAAGCTCGTCTATAATTTTGCGGACTCGGAGATTTTCATCGTAGGAAAGCTTATAGGGTCGGTAAACCACTGGGGTTGCATCCGTTAATTGAATATTCATTTCGCCGGTGTTAACAGTAGTTGTAGCTGTTCCAGCGATAACAAACTCTGAGAACTCCTTTATGATTTTAAGCAACGACTCATAACTCCCTTAAGGGGCGTGTTTATCTCAAGACACCGTACCGTGTTAATTTGAATAGGGGAATCAGTAGACCTCGTCAAATATTGATCATCTTTAGTGCGAATATACATGATACCATCGCGATTTAGTATATCCGTTCCTGCAATAATCGGTGCGTTCATACACGAAGAAGGGACTATAAGCAGATTCGCCTCAATTGAAATTTGACTAAACTCGAGAGTAACGGTCACATAAGCTTTGACTACTATTTCTTTTTCGCTTATACACTTTAAAACACAGTTGGTAGACTTCGGTTGGCTGGCAAGGTACCTCAGCACGTCCGAGGAAATAAGTGACACGTTCAGAGCACCGCTATCAATGATAGCATCCATGGGAATGCCATCTACCACAACAACAACAATATCACTTGCACCCGTATTTTTAGAATTATTCTCCGCGCAAAGGTTAACGTTTCTCTCGTTTCGCTGTTGAGAACGATTTTTAGCAAAACAATCTTCTTCCTTATGGCCCGGCCTTTTACAAAAAGTGCATGTAATATTGCTCGAGTTTCTAGCGGAAAGTGTTTTATTATCTGTGCTTGGCTTTGAGTGACAATAACGGCTAATATGTCCCTTACGACCACACACGAAACACTACTGTTCGTTACGATTTGGTTGATTAAAATTTCTATTAGCTACCGAAGTGTGGGTAGTAGTTTTCCACGACCTGGTTTAGTATAAATTGATAAAAACGAAACTATTGTTTCCGGAATCAAATGTGCATTGGCAGCGGCAGCTCTTATTTGAGGATTGTCAATACCGCGGATCACGATTAAAGTCATAAGGTCCTCACTTAATCCGTTAACTATTCGTAAACGTAAAAGAGTGCGTCGTGCGTATTCTGCATAGGTAACGTACTTATCAGATGTGGTATTCATTGTTTGAAAAAGGATGTTAGCGTAATCTAACTTGCGCGGGCACAGTGATTTGGATTCGCGTTTGAAATTTATCCACGTGCGATCGGTCGTAACCCATTCGTTTTACGCCAAATTTTTGCGTCACCCTTGAGACACGAACCAATACGAGATAGACACTCAGAATCAGTCCAACCATTTGCCACTTGGGCGCGCACTGCCAACCTCATCGCACCATGTTTCTATGCTATGAGTAGAAGGATCAAAGTTTGAAACAAAGTAATTGTGTGACCTGATTGGTTGCAATAATTTGAGAGCATCTACTAGGGCCCTGGTTGAGTCGGGCGTGTCTGACTCTAAGTTATTTACTTGTGGTGTAAATGTGCGGGTATTCGGTAAACAATTTTTAGTTCGTGTGTCATGGATACTCGCCTGAGGCTCCGGCGTGCAGCACCTCGATTCGTTTAATTGTAATGTGTTCAACTCGCCCTCTGTGGTATCACACGTACTCCGGGATCACAACGCACTATTGTTTTTTTTTGAAACACTTGTTACGCAATTATTTTCTACCGACGTTAAACGATTCATGATCGAATTCAGTGTATTCTGAATAGAAACATTAGTGGTATCTTGAATGCGCAGGGACAGCGACCTATCGTTGTGGCGATTACGGTGGCGTACACTATCATGACGCGACGTATTACGAGTTCACGCACGGGTTTTACTTCGAATTCTGCTGCGTGAACGACACGCTGAACGGCGGTTATTAATTGAGGTCTTAGAACGGCTACGCGAGCGATATCGCGATCTACAACTCGTACGGCTGCGAGAACGATGTTGCGGCCTACGCTCATTACGGCTAGATCTGCCAGCCATATCAAAATGAACACGAGAACTAAAAATATGTGTAAAAGACTTTGTTCCTCCTTTCTTGTGGGCAAAAAGTTACTTATCCCACTTCTGATTTTAGAAATCAGAAGCAGATATATTAAAAAAGAAACAATTTTAACACTTGACCTAGTTATTTAGTCTCGAAAAGTAATTTTAACAACAAAATTAATTAAATAGAAAGAACAAAATCCTAAACTTAATAATTATTAAACGCTTTAACAAAACTACACGACCGGTGTTTAAATTACGAACGTCAAGGGCCAAGAGACAAGTGACGCGCGGCGGTTTGAATGCTTCTTTTATAAACAATCGTGTGGGTAGTTCTTTTATAAATAATGACGGTTGTATGCTGATTGCTTATACTATAATATAAAGAGAATATAAGAAATAATACTATTTTTAAAAAATCACAATGAACAAGCAAAATGTCTTTTTTTCTTTTGTTTAAAATTAAGAAAAAATGTGGTACATATGTATGGCTCTTGTAACGACATAGTTTATTTATGAAGAATTGTTTATATAAAATTATTGAAAATAAAATACAATAATTAATTCCGTTCTCTTAACATAATGAAGTTTAATATAGTTAGCTACCTTCAGTGTTTGGGATTTTATTTTTGTGAGAACTTTAAAGTCTTAGCCCCAATGGCTTTGACAGCTTTACCTGTGACAGCGGCGTCCTGAAACCATAGATGTTTAGTTTTCCGATACTACATAGAACTTAATATGCTGCATTTGACATCCAAATGAACAGTAATACAAAACACCAAAGAGGTTTCATTGTATCTACTACTTTATTCATTGCAAAGATAGAAATATATTTACGAAAAACAAATAAATAAACACTACTTAATATGTTTTAGAATCGAATAGTTAAGACAATCTTACAATGTGTAATCTGGTATGCCTATCTTGGCCTGAACCTGGACGTCACTTATAATTTGCAACTTTTTTTAAATTAAATACACATAAATTCATAAAACTTCACAGTCACTGTATTCTATACAGTATTCTTATTATAATATTTTATTGTTATTTTCATGATTAAACAAATACAGTACTAAACTTGTTTCCAAGAATTTGCTCCAAAGTTTCGAAAGGCGCTACCTTCTACATTAAATTTAATTAGATACACATATAATTTATTTGTTTATTTCTTTGTAACTAATACTTATATCTGGAGAAAGAAAATCTATTATTACTAACGCTTTAACCTTTAAATAATGCTATAAGCCATAAACCCTGAAGTTAATTATTTTATATCTGCGGCAACTACAATCTTTCTTACGGTTAATTTAATACAGTTTAATGAAAAAAATGCTGACAAAATATTTATCACAAAGATTCCATCATTATAATGAGAAATAGCTCAGGAAACGGGCAGCTGAGTTGGTTAGGGAAATTCAGTTCCTGTCCGGTTTCTAATAGTTAGTTTGAAGTTTGACTTCTCCTTTGTCTTGGTTGTCTTATCCGATTATCGTGTACTAAGTTTTGTACGGCCGTTAGTCATAGATGGAGTGGTAAAATAGAAATGGAACAATCTATATGTACATATATAGCGTAAACAAGATACATTCTTGTGATAAATACCACACTACTTAAAAGCAACCATTTGATTAAAAATTGCTCCTTGTCATCATAAATTTCATTGCTTTTTAAGTAAAAAATATTTTATCTCTGAACCTAATTCACGTCAAGTAATTGAGCCCGCTGTCTCTTAATTAATTGTATCCAGTCATCACGATGCTTCTATTTGTTTTAATTATCAAGGAAAAAGATCAATTAGTAAGATTCGTGAGATTATGTAATTGGACGAAGGGTGAGGGCTTGAAGTGACGAAAATCTTGAGCTACTCTGCCCAAAACTGGTTGATTAATGATTATAATAGTCAATGATATATTGATGTTATATTGAGGATCACAAACATTCTATTGACGTTATAGTATATATAAAACAATAGAATTATATGAAAAGAACTACCGTCGAGTTGTCAATTTTATTGAATACTAGTTTTTGCCCGCGACTTCGTCCGCGTTAGTTTGGTCAAGAGTAATATATGTAGGTATAGCTGACCAGGCAGTTAAAGGGCCCGCCTCTCGTTGCCGAGGGCGCGGGTTCGATCCTGGCCCGGGCAAGTACCAATGTGATTTTTCCGAGTCATATGTACTTTCTAAGAGTATTTAGACATCACTGATTTATGTTGATTCCCAAAGATAGGGTTGATGTCAGGCAGGCGGCCGGTCGTAAAAACAAATAGCCAAAACTATTCACAAACATGTAAGGCAGACCCTGGCTATAGCTGGGAAATTGCCAGGTAGAAGAAGAAACTGACCAGGCAAACTCTATTCCGTCTTAGAGGCCATAAATAATCAGGTTTTTCCTGTTTTAATCAAACAGAATGATTGACATTTTAGTTAGTTGTCAAATCTAATGTCAAAAAAAACGTTTGTATGGGAAATAGAAAAGGGCTGTTTTTAGGGTTTTCCCGGCAATTATTCCAATTTTTCTCACCTTTTAAACCTTTCCTGGACTTCCAGGAGTATTTCAAGACTAAAATTAGCCAAATCGGTTCAGCCGTTCTCGAGTTTTAGCGAGTCTAAGGAACAGCAATCCATTTTTATATATATAGAAGAAAGATTAAACTGCCAGATAATATTTTTGGTTAGTATGGTGCCAAAATTTCGCAGGAAGTTTTTCTTTTAAATAATTTTTACGATTGTATCTTTTCGTAAGAAAAAAATGTCTCACCGCTGTAATGGACGACCTTGCTCTGGTAAGGACGTTACAAAGAGAATAATTTATCTTAGTTTTTTGTTCTTGATCTCGTGTCCTTCGCAAATTGGCGGATATTATATTTTAAATGTACTTTATTTTTACCCAAATTTTGACTTAAAAGTAAACGAAGCTATTTATAATACATATATAATGATAAAATCTGAAGCCAGAAAACAATCCCAGTAAATAGAAGTCGAAATTTGAAGTTTTAATCAATGTCCTCAATTTCGTTACTGATAAATAACAAAGTACACATAAAAAACAAACATTGCAACAAGGGGCGCGGTAAGGCGTGGTTTCTACCCTCCGATAGTGCAATTAGAAATTAATGCTGTGACATGTCGAATTATTCTACTCTTAATTTTTTTTAATTACACCTAACAATACTTTTAGCATTTGGATGGTTTAAATGTTTTAAAGATATTTCAAATGGTTCTTCGTAAAAAAACACTTGACAGAGAGAATAAAAAATGTTAAATAGCAAATATGTCTCATTTTCACAAAACATTTTCTTTTATATTGTGCTTTATTTTAATGATAGTAGATACTTGTATATCAAAAAGTTATATGTAAATCACTTTCAGTGCCAAAATTATGTTATAAAATAAAACATATTTAAAACGTACAAATACAATTAAAAATATAATAAAGTCTTAATATACATATCTATATTGATAAAATTAATGCTCTGAACTAGGTCACCTATGGAATTTTCCAAAATGTTTACGAAATAAATGGTAGTCTATTGCGATGTCACGAATCCAATTACTTTAATTTTAATTAAAACGGAGATGTGGTCACACATAAAGGTTCCGTAATAGACAAACAACATGTACAAAACAATATTAAGTGATATCTGAAGCAAACCCTTGATTACCGAAGCTATTTATCTGATAGTAAATCAGTTTTAAGCTTGTCGCTCGATTGAATTATAGGCTTATTGCGCAGAATTAAATATTGCTGTAAAGGTAATTTTCAATCAGCAATGTTGTAAATGATTTTGTATTTTATATGATGCTAATTAATGATTTCCATCGACCACTATTCTATTCATTATTGCAGTTCGTGTTGGTTTTGAGTGCAATTTCAATTAATAGGACTGGAAGTGACGTCATGTTACAAATTCTTTGTTTAATGTGCAGTCTATTATATCAGAAATGTATTTGAATGTATATTTTATGTATATATTATAAAAAAAACAAAATAACTAAAATTTAAAAAACCTATTCACGTTTTAAAATTAGTCGGTTTCAATAACAGTATGCTTCTTATTTACAAAACATGTTGCGATAACTTGAAAATTTCACCTGTGAAATCATTTCATGATAATTTCAGTGCAACACAACCTTGAACTTACGAAAAAATGTATTTTAAAACCATAATAATACCGGCCTACTTGAAAGCTGTTGAAACAACTCCGTCCCGCACTGCGATGAATCATTTTTGTGCCTGAGCATTGTTTCAATAGTTACATTTTAAGGGTAGAATTTTTTACGCGAACACGACCAGGGCTTGGGTAGCATTAAGTTGACATTTTCCTTGATTATTTTTTTATTAAGGCAAAACATTACTTAAATGAATATCAAAAATCGACTAAAAAACTTATTTGTATAATATTTTGGGATTTTCACGGCATTTTGATGGTTGATCTTAAAGAACGTAATACGGTCGTGAACGGCGACTATTATACTTCTTTAGCATATAAATAACCATGTAAGTGAAGGAAAAAACTAAGAGGCAAGTTGTCTAAAGGTGTCTTGTTGCTCAGTGACAAAGTTCCTATTCGTACCACTGGTGTTTTGAACGATACAGTTCGTCAATGTGGGTTCACAAAAGTAGAACATCCACCGTACAGTCCAAACATTCGACTATTATTTATTCCAGAATTTAAAACGGGACGTAAACGGTAAAAGTTATTAAATTTTCAAGCGATGAAGAATTACAGCCGGCCGTATTCGGTCATTTTGAAGATTAAAATAATAATTATTTTTATAAAGTTTAAAGATATTGATTAACAGATGTCAGAAGTCTGTTAGTAAGTCAGTGGTGGTCTAATGGTTAAAGGGCGCGCCTCTCATGCACGAGGGCGCGGGTTCGATCCTGACCCTGGCAAGTACCAATGTGATTTTTCGAGTTATATGTACTTTCTAAGAGTATTTAGACATCACTGATTAATGCATTCCCAAAA